CAATTATGCTTGGTTCACACAGGAAAGCATCCAATTGTCGTTGGGTGGCTCACAAAATACTCCAAGCATTTTCTAGAGGCATTTGAAGAAAACATTATAATAAATATGGCAGAACCTCTGCTTAACAATCCAAAGCCCCAAGAAGGACTGTGGTCAACCACACCTCTGCACAATGATGCACAGTGACGTGGTCCCGCCGTACTCTCCCACATACTCCCCATTCTCCCACATGGGGACCTGCACCTCTGCCATAGTGTGATGTGAGGACACTGTCTGCCACACCTCTGACAAATCTACAGATGGGGATATGGCCTATCAAGCTTCTGCTATATCCATGTTTTACGGTGGTGTCAGTCCACTTGCTGTTGTTAAGAAGGAATACCTGAGGCTAGGTGTTTTATAAAGAAAAAAAGGTCATTTGGCTCCTGATTCTGAGGTCTGGAAAAGTTCAAGATTAAGCATCTGATGACAGCCTCAGGCTGTTTCTGTTCATGATGGAAGAGAAGGGCGACCAGCTCATGCAGAGATCACAGGGAGAGAGAGGAAGCAAGAGAGAGAAGGGAGAGAAGCCAGGCTTTTTAAACAACCAGCTGTTGGGGAACTCTTGTGGGAACTAACAGAGTAAGAACTCACTCAGCCCCTCCACTCCCAGGGAGGGCATTAATCTGTTTATGAGCCATTCACCCCCATGACCCAAACACTTCTCATTATGCCCCTCATTAGGAACCTCCAATGCTGGGGATCAAATTTCAAAATGAAGTTTGAAGGGGTCAACTATCCAAACAGTAGCAAGAGGGCACGATCTCCCTTACCTATGCCTCCTCTAAGAACTGAGCCCTGAGGGAGTAGTAGTTCTCAGTCCCACATGTGATGGGATCACAGAAATAGTCACAAAAAAGGTGGTAGTAGTGATGGTGGTTGCAAAAGAAGGGAAGAGAGGTGCTTAACTCCAATTTTAGTTGAGATCATGGTCAAAGATGTTGATGAAGGAAAAGTGAAAGAGAGAAAAAGCTTTAAAAATGGAATAAGTAATAAATGGGCGAAAATAGGAATAGCTGCACAATAAATTATAACTCAGATAAGTAAACAAAAGCTTCAAAGTAAGAAAGAGGGAAACACAAGAGAGAATATTTTTAAAATAAGGAAGAAAAATAAAGTCAATAGGAAGACAAATCAAAGAGATAACATGAAGAGGTAAACAATGAAAGATCTATACACAGGGGATACCAAAAAATGTATACACATTTTAAGAAAGGGGGAAAAGGGCAGCACGTGTGGCTCAAAGGAGTAGGGTGACAGCCCCATATGCTGGAGGTGGCGGGTTCAAACCCAGACCTGGCCAAAAACTGCAGGAAAAAAAGAAAAAAATTGTATTAAATTTGTAATACCCAAGTCAGGTTTGACTTCTGCAATTACAAGAAGTACTCACTGTGACTTGTATTCATCTTTTATTAGCAGATATTGAGTATTACAATTTTAAGACAATTTTTCCCTTTCTGAGAATGTGTATACATTTTTTAAGGCACTCCCTGTGTATATATGTATATATTCCATTCTCTCAAGAAGCTATTTATCTTCCCTACATGCTTTTGAATATTCTTGATGAGTAGGTAGAGGAAGAAATCATAGCTTGAGACTCTAAAGAGATGAGCTTCCCCTTTTCAGTCTATTCAAACCATTTGCTTACATCATTAGGGTTTTATCTTCGGGAAATCTAACCCATGTGATAAAGCACTAACAATTTAGTTTTAAGTCACATCTGCCTATATTCCATGGCTTTGTCCTGGGAATGGGCGTGGGGGTGGAAAATCACATTTTCTAATCTTGTGGAAACACAGAGAAGAAAATTTGTTGCAAGCGAAAGTCTCCAACCTTATCTTGGCCATGAACTTTACCAGACACTCCCCGAAGGGGTGGCTCCTGTCACTTAGCCTAAGATCATTCCCATTACAACGTTTCAGGTGACAGGTCTCCCGTGGAAAGACACTGTGGGGCTTCAGGAAGACCCAGAGAGCCAGATGTACTTAGGATGGGTTTTGTACATCCTCACCCCGAAATGAAAGAGAGCAGTGCTCACTTTCCTTCCTCTCTCGGCTGCACAGGACAGCAGGGAGGCCTGTGATTAGCACGGGGGCAACCTATTCATCGGCACCACACAGGGGCCCTCGAGTTACACAGCAGTCACTGCTCCTCAAGACACAATATGAACAACCCCCCTGCTCGGCCCAGTGAACACACAAGTGTGCAGAGGAACAAAGGAAGAGCCCACAGCCAAACACCACTGGGAAGAACATGAGGCATAATGCTCTGGTCCCCTTGGTGTGGGTACACAGGGGCAGCCCTCTAATGACACACTGAACCACCAGCCCTGTGCTGCCGGGCCACCCAGCCAGATCCAACAAGAGGTACCAGACCTCTCAGAGCTGCTTGCCGACCAACCCCCTTATTTGCAGCTCAGGGCAATAACAACTTTTCACAAATCAGAAGACCAACATGAAATAATATTACATTCCAGCAGGGAAGCTGTTTCTGCTCCCATGTCCCAGTACAAAGAAACATAAGAAAGAACTGCCGATTCTAAAGAGTTAGAAAATTATCAGGTACGCAAGCAACTATGACTATGGCTCAGAACAGGATGGAGAGAAAGATGAGAGGTTTTCCAAATGAGTCTCTTACCTTTTTGTCGCTCAGGCCAGAAACCTGGTCCACATATTCCTCTTGGATCATGAAGGCAGCTAAGTTGGCAGTGTAGCTGGCCAGGAAGATGACAGCAAAGAAGGCCCACACTGACACCATGATCTTGGAGGTGGTCCCCTTGGGGTTCTGCACAGGCACGGAGTTGTTAAACACGAGGCCCCACAGCAACCAAATAGCTTTGCCGATGGTGAAAGACGGGCCACCTGGCTCTGGCAGGAAAAAAAATGACAAGGACAGAAGTCAAGTCAGCGTCATTAGCTCTACTAAAGCCTGTAAAACACACAGGACTGGTATGTCCCTCCCTGCTCAGAGCTGGAAGCCCTTCCACCAAAACTGAGCCCTTTTACATAGATAGTTGTTTAATTCAAGGGCTGTATCTTTCTATTCCAGGGGTCCTCAAACTTTTTAAACAGGAGGCCAGTTCACTGTCCCTCAGACCATTGGAGGGCTGGACTGCGGGCCCCGGGACAAGTCGGCTGCTAAACAGGACAGGCAGCGGTGGCAAAAACCCTCAGCGGGCTGGATAAATGTCCTAGGCAGGCTGCATGTGGCCCGCGGGCCATAGTTTGAGGACGCCTGCTTCCCTAAGGAGATCAGAAGAGGGTTCCTTAGGAGAAACCAGGGATGTGTACAGGACCTTTCTCCAGCTAATAGCTATGACTCAGGCTAGCCCTGGAGAAGCCACCTTCCAGCCCCCATATACTAGACCCTCAATATCATGAGTAAGTAATAAAGGCTGACGATCACTTTGGGTCATTAGGACAATCTTTTCTAATTTGTGTATTTCTATCTACTAGGAAAGCATTTTAACTTCCAAAAACATCAGCAAGAATTGTGTAGGGCCTTTTTTCAAGTCTTTTTATTACTATTACTATTATTAAATCATAGCTGTGTACATTAATGCAATCATGGGGTACAATGCTCTGGTTTTACATACAATTTGAAATGCTTTCATCACACTGGTCAACATACCCTTCACGGCATTTTCCTAGTTATTGTGTTAAGACATTTATATCCTCCTCCAAGTCTACTCACAACGATGCTGGGTGGCTTTCCATGTTCTTTCTCCTGATTTTTCTCTAACTTCTAGCACTTATCACTGTTTCATAGACTACCCGGACTCTACCCCCATGCTAACATTTCCCAAGTGGTTTCCTGCAGGAGTAGCTTCTGTGTATGAGAACATCAGAAAGCCCAGAGAGGGAGTCATAGACTCCTGGCCCAGCCACACGTATCTGAGAGCGCAAAGGTAGCTGACATTAACTTCACTTCCCTTCACCCAATTTCTACACAGACAATGCAAGGACTTCTGTTCCCACATGTGTTGTGAGCTCACTGCTGTCTCTGGTTGTTGTTGGTAAAATCTTGCCTGCTGTCTGGATCTCCACATAGCCCCTTCACTGCAGAAATCAACATCTGCCTACACAGTTTTACAACATATTAGCATAGGTCTTAGGATGTTCTCTGTGAGCCCGAGAGCATCTGCTCAACCCACTAAATCATCAGGGACTACACATGTCAAACCTGATACCTAACTGTGCACACACATCTGTGCATGCGGACCTTATTTCATGCAACAGATGTGTAACTGAAAAGTTGTTTATAAATCAAAGTTTTGCAAATTGTAAAATGCTCCAAGGGGACTTGATATTTAAAGTGGCCCCACGTTGAATTCCTTTATGAAGACAAACATCCTCTGGTAAAGTGAGTAATTGTAGGCCCTTGCTCTGAGCTTTGTACATCTGGATTTTAACCTCCTGGTTTGTTCAAGGGTATGTATGTGGGGGTATGCACTAACTTAACGTTGTCAACTTATGTATGTCATCAGGTGATTCCCAGATGCTTCACTTCTTCCCCAGGCTGGGATATAGGTCATGGCTTCTGGATGGCCCGTTAGCACAGGGGCTTTGAAAGCCCCTGACTATACCATACTGTGAAAATACCCAGAATCCCACCCCAAAATACACAAACCACATACAAAGAGATCAACACTCAGAAATGGTTCAGTAAAATAGTGACACAGTCTGGACTGCGAATTCAACAGAAGCACGAGGGGAGGTTTTACCAAGTACTGCTCCCTGCATCCCACCCCTCAGAGATTCTTTTTTAATTAGTGTGGGAGGGGCTGTTTATTTTAACATGCACCCAAGGTAGAAAAATCACCATTTTGACTCAGATAGTGGCCCAGGACTTAGATTTAGTGAATCAGAAAAAGTGGTCTAAGCACCTTTGTCTTATTTGTACCACCCGGCCCCCCCCCCACCCCCCGATAATTCTTATGTGAATCTAGGGTTAAGAAATTTTCCTCTTGTGGCTAAAATTCCAGGATAGAGCTCACATTCTGGAAAGGAAAAGACTCACAGAAGATGGAATATTTCTTAATCCTGAGGTTCTCAGGAAATTTGAGGGGAGCTATTTATAAGGATAGCAAAAATCTAGTGAATGCTTAAAAAATTTCATAAATTCCTCAATCACATGAGCAGCCCTCATATCTCTGGGCCTACCTACTCAAGAAACTGGACTGTCCCCAGTAGCAGTTATGAGTGAAAGTCAGTCTCCTCTGTCCATGCAAACTTTTATACTCTCTGGCAAGGGGGTTGGATGGGGGCATATGCTTTGGAGGTCTTGTAGCTCATTTGTGATTTGGCTGTGGAAATTCTACTGCTACAACCACCTGCATATACCCTGGAGGAAAGTATTTTTCCTTATTCTTAACATGTGTATACAATCTCCCTCGTCCATCGCATCTGTTCCAACAAACTGCCCACACCCTAAGGTTATCAAAATAGTTTCCTGTGACATATTTATGCTGCCCATGTCTACTACAAGTCTTTCCTCTCCTTTACTTAGGGGCAGAACGGGGCTTGGGGCTAGGTATGAACTGGAGAGAGAACATACGGAGCCAAACTCATATCCTAATTAGGATATTTGTAAAGTCATGAAACGGGTGATCTAGAAAGTTGAGGGTTCCTTTTAAGGAGTGGATAAGAGAGGGGGGAGGCAAGTAACAAATAAATCATACAAGGATTTAGAATTAAGAACAAGAAAAAGTAACAGAAATGCAGCAGATCCCGTTGGCCTTACCTCTGCCATCAGCGAGGCACCGGTTGTAACCCACAGGGCTGAAGTACTCAAAGACAAAGACAGCCACGGCCGAGACGATGAGCAGCATCACAAACATCATCACCCACACGTCCGCGCTGAATGGCTCTGGGGAAGGAGAGAACAAGGCACGGGAAGGATTAAAACCGAGAGCAGCAAACTCTCCTTAATTTACACATCCATGGTCACATATCCATGTGCTCCCCCAGACACCTATTTTGCTGGGTGGGAGCAAACCACAAGCGTGCATGCCTTCAGGGAGCCAGGGCCTGGGGTAGAGCCCCACTGAGCAAGTCAAGGTGTTTATTCCTTTCAAATGTATGAGGAAGACGGCCTCACACCCGTGAACTTTTTAGGCTGTAAAAAGACAGTGCCTGCCATATTGGACCAATATCTAGGCCATTTAGTGAATGGTATAATTGAAAGAAGTATTAGATATGGAGCCAGTGAGTCACCTGGGACTCAGTGACATTCCCATCTATATGGCCACACCACCCAGTGGAGTCTGGAAGAGACTTTTCTAGTGCTTCTGAGTCTTGCAGACACATTCATTCTCGACAGATTTACCTATTATTTCAGAATTGAATTGGTTCATTAACAATTATACACATGTACAACCAATAATCAACCCCTTTGCCTCTTTGCATCACTTCCCTTAAACTTCCCCACCTAGATGAATTTTTTTCCACCCACTTTGATGGGGTAGATTTTTTTTTTTTTTTGATGGGGTAGATTTTATTAGACATTCCTAGGGTAAGAGAATATAATTCAATATTAAAAAATCCACCCATATTGAATATCTGTATCTACAATAGCAGAATTTAATAGGTGCCAAGGGAACAGACATAGCTGTAATTCACAAAATAACCACAATCTATCCCTTATTACCAGGTGACAGGCTGCATGGGACGAGCCTGGAGAAGATAGTATGAATCTTCTACACACACGCTTTCTTTAATATCTGTAAGTCATTTTTGCTGAATTCCTTACAGTTGAGCTAAATATCTATCTGGCTTGGAAGCGTTCAGAAATTGGACAATACATTCCAGAAATCATGATACAATTCTTCCCCCAACCGTGTCTCAAAATAGTTCTGGCCTTTTTAGCTGTCACAGCACGTTGTAACTTCATAACTAAGTGAATTAACATGTTGTTTCCTCCATCTTCCAAATCATTAATACAGGCGAAGCTTATAAAAGGGGGAAAAATTGACTGAAAATTAGAAAATATATTTCTTACTCTGAAACCCACTTTATTATTGAACTCCCTAAGGAATTATAGAAGTCTGGCCACTTAATCAATTTTAAAAAGATTTTGAAAAAGCCTCAGAGCTGAACATACCAGCTGTGAATTGCAAAATCTTTCAATGGCAGCCAGGGAGGGGAGGGTGGAAGGTACAATTCAAAACCTCTACACACATCCTTGACTTTAATTGCCTGCAATTCTACCCTGATTTCACTTTTGTCTAAGACTGGGGAGTGAGTGAGTAAAAGCATCACTTCTATAGTCTTTTTCTCCCCCATGAAGCCCAGGGAAACTTTTCATACACAAAATATGACAGACATCTCTATTGATCTTCCCAAGTTGAAAAGTACCTTGGCCACATACTATATTTAATCTTTTTAATGGCCCTTTCCTTATGAGATTGCTGTAAGTATTTTAGAGCTGTAGAGACTAGGATTGAGAGGTCAAGGTCCTTCCCAAATTCTTATGCAGTCAAGTTATAAACTGAAGTCCTCTGAGGCAAGAAAAATAAATAAATAAAAATTAAAAAATCTGTGCTTTTCCCATTGCATTATGTTGCATCTTTGTCTCTGCCCCCACATGTGGCTCCTGGGCTAGGGGCTGAACCCTGAAATGGCCTCATGTACTGTGTTTCCCCCCAAATAAGCCCTAGCAGGATTTCTATGCATTTGTTAAATATAATCCCTACCCCGATAATAAGACCTAGTGATGGGAGTGGCTATACAGCATATCTGCATAGCCATGCCATGCATTTCAGCACAGAGAGGAAGACATCCCCTGAAAATAAGCCCTAGTGTGTCTTCCTGAGAATAAATAAATATAAAACAGTGTCTTATTTTCGGGGAAACACAGTACTAGAACACAGTCTCTGAAGGCTACCACAGCTGAAGTTGAATCCTAGAGCTTCTAGTTACCATAGAAAATGGTTTAACATGCCTAAGATTTAGTTTCCTAAGTTATAAAATATATATATTAATAGTATCAATGAGTTAATATAACCAAAAGATATATATGGTACTTCACATAGCAGATGTCCAATTAATGTTGGCTTCTATTATCCCTACAATTAACTAACTGTTCATCCTTTGGACATACACACAAACACACCCTGCCTGGCTTTTCTATCCCATTGCCGGGCAGGGCTACACCCATGCACCACCACTTCTTCCATTCAGAAGTCAAAGTTAGTGCTATACTGACAGGGTTAGAGTTAGAATGCAGTTTCCTTTGTAACTTCTCATGTTTTAATTATCCACGTGAAGGGAAGAAAAGAAAATAAATTATACACAGCAGCTACAAGAATTAATGCATACAGTGTGTACTATCTACTAACATTTCACCTAAAATCAACAAAACTAGAAGTTGCTTTACTATGAGCAAGACAATTAGCTAAAAAAAAAAAACAAAAAAAAACTTGAGTAATTTTATAGAAAAATTCTGTGGAACCTATAACTCTACTTTGTAGAACATTAATTAAATTAATTCACTGTGGCTAAGCCTTAGAGAAATGTTAGTCAATGATTTATCTAATATCCCCATTAAAAAATGCTGATGTGCCTTAGAGTTGTGGTCCCCATCCCCTGGGACATAGACTGGTAGTGGTCCATGGTCTGTTAGGAACTAGTCTTCACAGCTTACTTGAGCAAGCAAACAAAGCTTCATTGGTATTTACAGCCACTCCCCATTGCTGGCATCATCACCTCAGCTCCATCTCCAGTAAGATGTGATGACATTAGATTTTCATAAGAGCACCAACCCTATTATAAACTGCACATCTGAAGTTGCTCTTTGTGAGAATCTGATTCCCTCCCCCCCAATCCTTAGTCCGTAGACAAATTGTCTTTCATGAAACGAGTCCCTGCTAACAAACTGGTTAGAGACTTCTCCCTTAGAGAGATTGTGACTTATCTAAGGGCTTACAGCTTGTCTGTGACCAAATCAGGCATCTCACCCCCTAGGGGTGACATTTTATTTTCCAACTCTTTGCTCCGTAGTCCCTGTAAAAAATATGGGGTATGAGCTCACAAAAGACCCCATCTAATTGAAATCTTGGCCTCATCTCACCTGGTCTTATATCACATCTGAGGCTTTTGACATTAAAGTGATGCTGGAGAGTGTGAAAGGAGAGCATGGTACAGGGAGAGACAGGTTGGGGTGGGAGAAAGAATCAGATCAGTGCAATCTGGCAAAGCCTCAGACAATACATGTGAAAACAGGAAACCTTTTTTGGTAGCACTGAGCTCAATTCTTGAAGATAATTAAAAATAAATAGATATTTCAATGATATCAGAATTAGAAATGATTACAGCAGGAAGCAACCTCAGAGAAATGCCTTCTCCTTTGGGTAAGGAAACTGAGTCCAGAGATGGAGCAACTCTGTTTAAGATCAAATGCTGACAAATAGGATTATAGTAGGCTCTCTGGTCACCAACCCAGAAGTGCTTTCTTCCTATTTTTCTGGGTATTCTTCAGTTTACACATTAGTGAGTGATCAATTTTGAAGTTCCCCCCAAATGCAGTCCCTGCTTGAGTTAAGATCCTAGCAAACCACCTGCTGGCTGAAAGAGCCTGGTCAGGTGCTCCTGCAACTGTCCCTCATTCCCTCTCCCCATCCTTATGTCCACTTCTTTCCACTAGCAAACACAACACTTACCTAAGAAGGCAGAAGGTGAGACAGTCCCATTGCTGCGTGACACCATGACACTGATGCCAGTCTCTATGAAGGGCACAGAGAAGTCGACCACCTCCGATCGCTCCTCATTGATGGTGAGTGACCCCACGGCCATGTAGGCCCTCTTCATGACCACCTGAAGAGAAGGGTGCAAGGCTCGAGTCAGAACATTAAGAAACCAAGAGGAAACACTAAAACACTTATGGCCCAGCAGTGGTTTCCTTTGTAGAAGGGGAACAGTATATCCTATTTGCTATTTTAAATGTTCTGAAATTCAGAGAATGAATGTATTTTCAGAATTTTGTTTTAAATAAAATGAAATTAATGAGAAGTGGAGCTGGCCCTTAATTCCTGACACTCACCTCTCCAATCATCCCATTCCAGGTCCCATTGATCTTCTTCCCATGCTTGCCATTGGTAACCAGGTAAAGGTCATAGGTGAACTTCACAGATTTAGAAATTTTCTTAAGGATGTCAATACAGAATCCTTTGCAGCATTTTTTGATGTAACCTGGCTCCTCATCTGTTTTATTCCTAGTAAATTAAAGAAATAAAAAATGGGAAAAAATGCTTTGTACAACAGGTAAGATATTACCCTTTGTCATTAAAACTCTAACCCCAAAGTAGGCCCCCTTCACAGCTCAGCCCAATTTATACCTGAGTGAGAAAATAAATCAGAGTACAGAACTTCAATATTCTCTTCATCTCATCACATTGAGCCATATTTTCTCACAATTTTTAATGTTCCTTTGGGGTATAACACACATACCAAAAGGGCATATATCTGAAGGGTTCAGTTGGATGAATTTTCTCACACTGAATTTACCCTTTTAACCAGCACCCGAATCCAGATGCAGAAAAGTTATCAGCATTGGAGAGGCCTCTTATCCCCCTTTTTAGGCAGTTCCCAATAAGCAGAACCATTCCGTTGATATTAACAGCATAGAAGTTTTATCTATTTCCCAAAGTGGTTCTACATTTCAAAATTTCAGGACATGGTGGCCTGAAAAAACATATTTCAGTAACAAAAATTAACTTAAATCTCCATAAACTTGACATTTTGGTCATTGAGGCCAGGCAAGGCCAAAGGCACGTTAGTACAGGAAGATAGCAGTCATTTCCCCAGGTCATGATCTGCACAGAGCCGGACATCGGACCACTGGGCTGCCAGTAATTCCATAGCTCAATAGCAACTGGAAACTAGAGATGATGCCCAATTTATTCTCTGCCTCAGGTGCATCAACTCTGTCTCTCCCATGCCACCCAGAGCCACTGGGGAGGTGCCATACTCAGTCACTATGCGTTTTTGGCAGGGGACCGTGTTCCTCATGCATGTTCCACTCAGAGGGTCCACACTCTCTACAATGACGAATGGTGCCTCCTCCAGGGTCACAATGCTCAGGTGATCATCCTCTTGCTCTTCAGTCTCAGGACACATTCGGGGCCACACATAGTATTTCATCTGCAGGGACTTGTCTTTCCACTTTCCCACCTGCATAAGGATGAACACATGACTTAGAAATCACTGGCCACAACATAACAGCCTGTCCCAGCATCGACTGACTCTGCCCAGAAAGCTGTCAAACAAAGGCCAGCAGCGTAGGCATCATGTGTAATAGAGAGAGGAATATTTTTTAAACCATATGCCCCAAATGAAACTATTGTGTCCAAATCTAAGAAATGCAACACATTCATTTGCTCACCCACTTACCAAACATTACATGAGTACCAACGATGTGTGGGCACCCTGCTAAGCCCTGTGCCTCAAAGAAGCATCGTTCTGCCCTTCAGCAAGCTCACACTGAGTGAAGGAGTCAGAAATGTCAACTAACGTTTGCAGAGCTGTGTGGTAAGTGCTAAACTGAAGCTGTACCAAGTGCCGTAAGGATGCCCGAGTTTCCTGTGTTATGTGTGGCTGTCGGGTTTTTTCTACTTAACTGTAACAGGGAGCATGATGATGAGAGCAGCAAATAGCTCTGGAAAGGTCAACAGAATGATGGGAGCAAATGAGCCAGAAAGATGTGTTTTGGATGAAACAGGTCTAGTGGGGAGCTGAGGGGAGAGCTAGGTGGATCTGAATCAGAATAAAATAGCAAGTCAGGATTAAACAGTATTGACACAGTTGATTTGGGAAGGGAGTGTGGTTGGGCTGGAGATGAATCCACAGGTCAGTGCAAGATGTGCACCTGCTAAGCTGGGTCGAAGCCTGGGAATGAACTGGATAGATCTCTCTGTGAGCTACCACATATGGCCACATCAGCAGGGTACCCCAGCACCCAGGAGCATCTCCCACACAGATTCCAACGTGAAGGGTGGGTACCCTGAGCCATGCACATGCTGGCTTACTGCCAACCACCCAGAGAAATATGTAAGTTCCATTAGCTTTTGGAAGAGCAGTTCATTCTTATTTTTATAACAGAATCGACATGACCGTATTGGTGGGTTCTTATTCTCTCTGCCATTGAGTTTAATGGAGGAAGAGAGAACACTTTTAAATTTTCTGTTACTGAGCATCTTCAATTATGCCAAGGTATTACGGATCGCAAGCTCCTGCATTTTCTCAACCTATGATTTCTTCCATGCAGCAAATCAGCAGAACAGGTGAGGCATCAGGACTAGAAAACCTCTTCATTTATTCATTGCAGAAATCAATAAGAAGCCACAAGTCAGCAGCACTTCATAAATTTTCAAGCAAATAAGCTTGGATTTCCACATTAATGCAAAACTCAAACTCCCTTTCTTTGGTTCTTTGGCCAGTGACGTGTGGAGACACTGCCATTGTGTTATTGCATCACTCATCACTATAACCTGGGCAAGGCTGTGGCATCCTGAGCTATCTTATTTGGCACCATGTAGCCCTTCCTTGGCAGCTGCTGGTTGGTATTCTTCCAAATGTATAAATGACATTTTGGTTCTGTGTTCAAAATTATGCACTGGACCAAACATTTTCTTTCACTTATAGACATAGTTTTCTCTGTAAGGATTTTGGTATAAGTTTGTTTTTCCTCTTGTTTCTAAGACTACTCATTTCTTTTTCTCTTTTTTCTTTTCTTTTCTTTTTTTTTTTTTTTTTTTTTTTTTTGAGACAGAGTCTCACTATGTTGCCCTTGGTAGAATGCTGTGGCATCACAGCTCACAGCAACCTCAGACTCTTGGGCTTAAGCTATTCTCTTGCCTCAGCCCCACAAGTGGCTAGAACACAGGCACCTGCCACAATGCCTGTTTAGTTTTTGGTTGTAGTTGTCATTGTTGTTTGGCAGGCCCAGGGTGGGTTTGAGCCTACCAGCTCCAGTGTATGTGGCTGGTGCCCTAGCAGCTGAGCTACAGGAACCGACCCAAGACTATTCATTTCTAAAGCATAACTTTCTAAATGGCTTCCCAGCCATGTGGAGTTATGAATATCTTCTTGCCAGTGGTTGTAGGGAAGATGGGATTTAGGAGAGAGGAGGTCCAGGCCCATGCTGCTGAGTCACCTCCATCTCCAAGCAGGTGTATTTACCCCAGTGGCCAAATTGTTATCTTTTTCTGTTTGTTCAAAATGTGAAGAAGGTTGGGAAGCTCTAAAATACCCACTTTTATTTATTTTTTTCATCCCTATCATCTTCTATTCTTTTACTTTTTTTTAATCCAAATTTATTCTCTTCTGGCTTTATTACTAATAGCCTAGCCTAATATGGTCTAGTAGTTCATTCTGAGATCACTGCAAGAAACTTTACACCCCACACGAAATAGCCCCCACAGTCCATCATGGACGCTGCCACCAGATGGCTTTCTTTCTTTTTATTTATTTTTTTTTTTTGAGACAGAGTCTCATTTTGTTGCCCTCAGTGGAGTGCCATGGCCTCACAGCTCACAGCAACCTCCAACTCTTGGGTTAAGTGGTTTTCTTGCCTCAGCCTCCAGAGTAGCTGGGACTACAGGAGCCCACCACAATGCCCAGCTATTTTTTGTTGCAGTTGCCACTGCTGTTTTAGCTGGCCAGGGCCAGTTCAAATCCATCATCCTCGGTATATGGGGCTAGTGTCCTCCTCACTGAGCCACAGGCACTGCCCAAATTTCAACAATCTCTTACTGCCTTCGGGATGGTGCCCACACTTCTCCCCTCGCTGCTCAAGGTCTATACATTGAGCTTAGCCTACCTTGATACGGTTAACTTCACTGTTTTTAATCATGAATCCTTTGTTCAAGGAAAAGAAAGTTGTGGGAATTAGAAGCTAATATAGGTTAATAAGAAACAGATCGCAACAAGCTAGCTGCATTTTCTTTATATCTGTACCCCTCTGCCCCCCAAATGCTGCAGTCATAGCATTTTGGCAGAGTTTCTCGTGACGCTCTTGCAAATGAGATAAAATATAATATGGATTATTGCATGCTTTGATAGACTTGAAAGGAGTTAAGGGCCAACATGGAAGGAGGTCTGTCTAATGACATGTCAGAGGACTTTGCTTTCAGAACAGAGATTTCAGCCTGCGTAATGTTGTAGAAAACAAAGTAGAAGTCATGCTCACAATATCGCAGGTAACACTAGACAGGCTAGGAGACTGCATTTCAGAATCAAGTCTGGAAAAGATCTGAATTAGCCAGAACGATGGACCAAATCAAATGGAATGAAATTTACACTTAAAGTCTAGCATTTAGATGTTGAAAAAGTAACTGCACGGTATTTAAAAGGAGATATTTTGATCAACAGCAGTCTACAGAAGCTATTGCAATAACAAATGGTATATTTATATACTTACAGGGTCTAGCACAGTGGTTCTCAACCTTCCTAATGCTGCAACCTTTTAATACAGTTCCTCATGTTGTAGTGACCCCCAATCATAAAATTATTTTCATTGCTACTTCATAACTGTAATTTTGCTAGTGTTATGACTTATAGTGTCAGTATCTGATATGCAGGACGTATTTAGGCGACCCCTGTGAAAGGCTTGTTCGACCCCCAAAGGAGTGGTGACCCACAGGTTGAGAACCGCTGGTCTAGCACATGGGGTGAAGGGATGTCACCAATGATCCTAGCCTGCCCTGTGTTCATCATGCCACAGCTGGAAAAGTGGGTTCTGATCCTGTAAGTCTATAATCTACATATTTTTATATTATACCATTCTGCATTTCCCCAACAATCGTTTTTCTTCGAGTAGTTCCCCTTTAGCACACCCCTTTCCACCATGTTAGCCAGATCCTACCTTGGCTTCATGTCAATTCAATTCAACCGACAATAATTAGGCACCAATTCTGTGCCAGGCACTGAACTGTTTGCTAGATATAAGAGTCCCAGGTACATTTATTGAGGGCCTAGATGTTCTAGGCACCAAACACATCTAGGAATATCATTAATCTTCACAGCAAGCTGTGCAATAGAGACTCACATTTAATATCTCATTTTACAGATGCCTACAGAGGGATTTGATGACTTTTCCAAGATTCTCAGTAAGTGACTACAGTGTTGGGACGGATGCTGAGCACTCCGACGCCAGAGTGTGGGCTTCTACACACGACGCTGCACTGCTGCTCTGACAAGGGAGGGTTAAGACATAGTCCCTGTCCTCCAAGGATAGTCTAAAGGGGAAAGATACCATTTATTGACAATAATATCAAGTTCGGCTCTGGTAATTACATGAATAAAAGATATAAATAAAGTACTGTGGCATTCAGAGCAGAAGTGATTATTCCCAAAAGAGTCAGGGAAAAGCCTCCCAGAGACCCTTAGCTTTGAGCGGGGCCTTGCAATATAAGTGATAGCTCATTAGGTGAAGAGTTCTTTATACACCAAGGCAAGAGCAAGAGCAAAGGGGCAGAGGGAAGGAACACCTGCTGGGTGGGAAAACCTCAGCCCATCCTGCATAGCTCCAGGGTCCAAGGCATGGGGCGAAATGGCCTAGCTCAGTTCCTCCTCCTCCTCCTCCTCCTTCTCAGGCCTTCTCACTTTACCTCAGCCCATCCTGCATAGCTCCAGGGTCCAAGGCATGGGGCGAAATGGCCTAGCTCAGTTCCTCCTCCTCCTCCTCCAGGCCTTCTCACTTTACCTGGGCAATCTCTGTCACTCTCGAGGGCCAACTGCACTGCGTTCATCTCTTGCCAGCTCCTTGTTCAAGGGCATCAGGTTGGTAGGCTGATAGTGGCATGGGCACCATGAAGACAAACTGTCCCCTCACCACCAACTATTAACAATGATATCACCACTGTCCGGAATAAGCACACCATTCACTATTTCATGATTCTCTACCTTCTTCGATGATTTTTTTCTTTTAACTTTCCAAGAGACGTATGCTCTAGACTAAATTCTAAACATGTCTCAGAGACAGAACTACTCAGGTATTTCTGAGACCATGGCCAAATTTCTAAAACTCTCTGAGTCTCAGTTTCCACATCCATAAAAATAAGTAAATGGCTTTGTAAGATGCCTTCCCCATAATTTCACGATCCCAAGATCTCTGCAGGGCAGGGTTCTCTCTTACACTCCCTACAGAGTCGAGCCCAAATGAAAAGGGGTCC